AACACTGATGTAGCCCAGCAGATGAAAATGGAAGAATTTTACCCAAGCCTTGAGTTTCCAGAGCTGTCCAGGAATGGGCATCCAGCCTTTGTGGAGCAGTCTGGCCAGAGGCTGGTGTGATACGTGTAGTTGTACTCTTTGCTGAAGCCAAGCAACTAATTGGCATCACATGGTGTGACTGTCACGATCTATCAACCTGTGGAAAGGTTTTTGAGGCCTGTGAACTAGTTCTGCTTTACAAACAGCACATTCTTTTTAAAAGAGTAGAGGGCGAGTTTCTTTGCACAGACTGCAAAGACAGAGCAGTTTCTGGAATCACAGAAGTGTGAATATTTAACATTTTCTTGCTATAAGGAAAAATAAAGATCATCAGCAGGAAAGAAACATCATTGACTTTCTTGAAAATAATTATATGAGGAAATTCATTCTAGTAAAAAAAAAAAAAAAAAACCAAAAAAAAAGTACTTTCAAGTGAAATATAATGCATATTTGGACAGTTGTTTCTCTGTCAGTTTTCCCAAGACTTCAGTGGAATCCCTAGTCTATATGCAAGCAGAGTATATAAGTTATACATAGGTTATAACTGGAGTATGGGTGGTGGTTCTGTTTTAAAGTATGGAAAGTTTAAAAATATATAAACCAATTTTTTACAATGTAAGACATCTTTGAGATGTTTTCTTTAAGGCAAAGACTTTGTGCTCTGGCCATAAATGAGGGAGCAGAGGAAGTGTGGTAACTGCATGTGTTCATGGCCGAAGGCAAATCTGAGGTAACTGAATTTCCTCAGCCCTCAGTAGAGGAAAAGAAGATAATTTGGGTGACCTTGTAGCTGCTGAAGGCCGGGAGTGAGTACACTAAATGAGCCTGTGCTCATTTAGAAGCAAGAGCAAGGAAGGAAATTTAAAGAGCAGGTTGCTAGGGAATCATGTCTCCTGCATAGGGCACAGGAAGAGGCAGCGGCTCTGAGGGTGACACTTGTAAACTGGTGTGCAGAGGAACACCAGGAAACTGCACTGTGCTTGGATCAGGCAGGGCATGAGACAAATCCTCCTTTGTGATGGGCTCAGCCATTAACAAAGCGGTTGCAACTTAGTTTGGGAAAACAGGAAATGATACCTTGAGGGACTAATGCATTCTTGTGACGAGGAATGATGCAGAAGAGTCATAAAGTAATGCTGGTTAAAGTGATAAATATTAAATCCTTTATTAGTTTAATTTCAATGGGAGCTGGCACAAACCCCCGCACTTTTTAAACAAAGTATCACCTGATCATGCAGTAAATAAGTATCAAGTTCCATGACTGCTACTTTAACACGGGTGTATTTAAAGCTTCTCTTGTTTTGGGAACAGTAATATTGGTTTCAATACAGTGTTTATGCTCCTATTTTACTTGCAAATTCCAATGGTTTCTGAGAAAATTGGAAACAGAAAATTGCTATAGAGTGCAGATGCAAAAGGCAACTGGAATTTGTGATTTGAGTCAAGCTCTTATGTTCAGCAATTTAAAATTGTGATTACCTCTGGTAATTGGAGCTGCTTTCCCTGCCTGCTTTTCTCTTCAGTCACTGTGGGTCTGTATTAAGACAAACCCCTGTGATGGCTTTCCTGTCATGGCTGGGAATGCTTCATTCCTCGGCTGTGAGTGGCACAGAATCCATTTTCCTGCCTTCCTCTGGCACACTGGGGCTGAACTTAGCTGGAGATGGGACACAAGACTCCTGTGGGGGTAGCACAAAGGATCCTTTTTCCAGTCTTTGCCTGACATTTTTGCTTCCATGTATCTGCTCAGCTTTGAGCATCATGTTTGAGTTGGATGTGAATTTGCTGCACAGGGATCTGACAGATCTCCACTTTTCTCTAAAGCCTGGGGAGCAGATTTCCTGCTAGAACTGTCAGGGCTTATGCCACTCAGTCACTTCCTTGCTACTACTGCCACCTCAGGAATAACTATCTTGTTCCCTATCTTGGAGACAGATGCCTCCTGATAGCTGCTGCACTTTAGACTAAATTCTCTGGGCTTTGTGTAGGGGAGTCAGAGGGAGACTAAAGGAGAGTTGACTCTTTTTCCTTTGATTTTCTGAGAAGATACAACTGAAATAGAAAAATGAAGCAGAAAAAATTAAAAAAACAAACAAACAAACAAACAACCAAATCACAGAAACAATGAACTTTTTTCCAAAGGCAGCTTGTGTCCTTATGTTGAACCCTAAATAGCAGGTGGGCTGTATTGAACAGCCAATCAATAAGATATAATTCTAAGCTCTAAGTGGTGGCATCCCTGGAGGTATTTAGAGGATGGGTAGGTGTGGCACCTAGGGACATGGTGAGCTTGGTGGTGCTGGGTTAGTGGTTGGACTTGAACTCAAGGGTCTTTTCTGAGGATGAAAATGCCATTCAATACCTTGAAACTAATTTTAAAGCGGTATCTGACCAGACAGGAGCCTGTCTTTGAGGGAATCTTGGACTTTCTCCAGTATTTTTTTCCCCACAATTGCTGTCAAGAGACAAAGCAGGGATGTGTTATAACCCATGTGGAAGCACTGTGTTTTTTGGAAACTTGTAGCTGGAAGTAAGAGTAAGGGTGAATCCCTGCCTTACTGATTAGACAAGATGGACTGAAGTTTAAAGAAGAAATACGCTCAAAGGACTGAGGTGATTAGTAGGGAAGGGCTAAATCTCAGAATTATCACATTTTAGAAATGTCCAGATCCACATGACTTTTTATTTTGTATTTTGTGTATCAGATGTTTGTGGTAGATGCCTCTAAGTCATGTCTATTAAAGCCACTATATGGGTCCCAGAGAAGGTGACATCTGGGTAATGAAGGCTTTCTCAGCTGGAAAAGAAATGTCTTCCCCAGGGAGTGTTGCTGCCTGGATCCTGGTGCTGTTGTGCAGTCCCTGAGCCAAGGAAGTCCTGGGTTGTATCAAACAGGGCAAAGCAAAAGCATTGATGCATTTTTCTCTAAGAACTGAAAGAGTAGAATGTTTTCACAGCTTACTGCCAATCAGTTTTTCTCAGTCCTTCATGGAAGAAAATAACACCTGCTCCTGCAGATTAAGCAGCTGTCAAATGCCAAAATAATCCCTTGGTGTGCTTATCGGAGAGGAATCACTCCGTTACACAGGCTGGTTTGAATGTGGGTGACAGCACAAAGCTGCTGCTGCCAGAGGGTTGTTTGGAGACAGACCTTTGAAGTAATGCTCAGTAATGAGAAACTTTTTGCAAAAATCTGGGAGTTTTTCCAGCAATTTAAAAAATTTCTTAATGCTTTATGGGTGACTTCAAGTACTCAGAGGTGGCTGTAATTGTAAGGCAGGATAGCCTTATTCCTTTGTCTCTTATTTTAAGAAAGAGACACTAGATTGTCACGGGAATATATTCTTATAACAGATCAGAAAGGATTGTGCCTTCTTGTGGCTGAAATTTTGAGAAATATCTGAGGAAGACTCCCATTAAAAGAATCTGTCAGCAGCTACAAATTCTCAGGCAGAAATAAAATCAGTAGTTCTTCAACTCAGCAGTAAGGAGGATGGCACCTGGTTCAAAATTAATGGAGCTTAGTGTTAAATGAAAAGCATTTTTCAGGGAAAAGGAGTGTTTCCTGAAAGCAATGAGCTTGCTGAAGAGGTGAGAATCACTCCAGAAGTCGGCAGTTCCTGGTTTATCACAGTTCTGTGGCAGCAAACAGTGTTTGCTCTGCTGTCCTCTCTCCCACGTTCACTGACCTGGAGTATTAAAACACAAGCAGTGCCCTGTCCATGTACAGGATGGGAAATAAATGCTGTCACAAGCATGGACGGACACAATTCCACCTGGGAACAGTTGTCACTAGCTGGTGTCCCAGAGGGCAGGTAACAGAGCTCAGCAGCCTTTCTATACCACCACGAGTTAGCTCAGGGTGATCTCACCAACAGCTTCAAGAGGGCTCTGTAACCTGTCACTGTGCAGAGCTGCAGAAGGACATGAGTCAGACAGGGACTTACTTGGAGCCATTTTACAGAAACACTTCTGAGAAGTGAACCTGACTTTATAGGAAGTCCTGTGCCATGCCAGGTCTAGGAAGAACCCTGCTTGCCAATACAAGTATTAGTGTGTTGCTAGAGAGGTGTTTTTTTTGGGGATAAATCTGAAAGATAAATGACTTAACTCCAGCCTAATAGTTCAGAACTTATTTCACTCAGTGAACTGGGGGTAAATTAGAAACTCTGACTGTGGTTATGCAAACATGATGCTGAGAGGGTTGTTTGCAGCAGAGTTATTAAGCAGACCAAAAGCAAGGGCTGCCCTTCCCTGGTTAATAATTTAAACACAGCCTCTTGTATCTCTTCTGTTGCCATACATTATATATGTTTGACTATAACCAGTTTTAAGGGGAACAAGTTAAGATAAGATGCGCCTGTAAAAATGTGAGGGCACTGTGGAAAAGAAATCTTCCAGGGGAGAACAGGATAGGAATTAGAAGTAGTTCTGTCAGCCAGTTGCTATTGGGATCATACAAGCAAGTGCTGTTTTCTGGGGAAATAATTTCAACTAAAAACAAACCGAGCAATGCCTGCAAAAATCACTATTATTGATTTATTTTTGTCAGCTGTTTTCCAAAGTTTGAAAAGTTAGAGGAAGAGGGAATATTGCCTCAAGGATTTGACTATTAATGGGACTCTCGGGATTGGTGACATCTCCTGTGCCTGTGTGATGCCTGTGGGGTACTGCCAAACTCTTGCTGTTTTCATTAAGTTGCCCCTGGTGGCAAAGTGGGAGTAATTATCTCTAGAGACAAATGTTATGTAGATGTCTGCTCTAAAATTTATTCTGAGCTGCCTTTTCTTAGTTAAAATAATAATTTGAGGTTTAAAAGGAAAGTTATCAAAGGAATAAAAAGATTTTACGCGTAAAAAGCAAGTTTTTCCAGTTTCCTGTTAGAAATGGCATCTTCACCTATACAAGTGCTGAGGTTGACAAACGCACAGAAACTCTTGCCCTTTTTTCTCGTTTCCCAGCGTGACTGAGGCACTGCTGATCGTAATTGCCAGACTCCCTGAATTCCTGTCGAATTTACTGCCAGCCACAGATGATCAAAAAGCCTGGCCATCCCCATCCCTTCTGCTTTGTAAGAATCCTCACTGTTGGGACCTGGCAGTGCCCATGTTGGGACCTGGTCACCTCCAGCTGCATTACTGGATCTCAGTAGGAAAACGATACCTGTTTTCCCCCTGGTACCAGCAATTATTGCCTGTTATTGCCAAATCTTTCTGACACATGAAATGCAAATGCTGTGAGGTTGTTTTTAAGCTTGAGTGCCTGTCAAGGCTTCTTGTCTCTCCAGATCCCCCAATTACAGGATGGTAACTTAGACAGAGTTTTGAAAAGCACTGGAAACTTGTGCATCATTATTCTGGGATAACAAACAAGATGACTGAATTAACTTTGCTAATTTAGGGAAAAGCTGCTACTACAGCTCCTTGAAACAAGCCCTGTTCTTTAGACTGCACTTTTTGGCATGAAGAAATCAGTGAAAAGTCCCAGTTACATAATCTTGGTTGACCAAGTGAAATTCCAGTTTGGCACATAGTTACATGGGTTTGCTAAAATCTAGAGAATTATTTTCCCAGGGCAAGCCAGGTGTACAAGAAAAAAAATAAAGCTCATTTTGTCCTCTTACCATTTATTTTCAAGGGTTTGTTTGGTGGGGTTTTTTTTTTTGAATCATGCATGAATATAATTTGAGTTAAGCTACTAAGTATGCATTTATTTGGTATGATGAAAATTGTATTGCCACAAAACTCAGTTTTATCAGTAAATGATGGTATTTGGGGTTACCACATGATAGACTTCAAAATTTAAAGCTATTTACTGTAGTCCCAGTCTAAGCAGTTTAATAAGATCTAACAGATGAATGGTGGGAAGGAATTTCCTTTAGCTCGATGTTCAGCATGGTCCTGTTTTCAAGGGCCAACTATCTTGTTTCACAACAGAGAGAACAACTCGACAGCTCTTGTTGCAACTTTGAGTTTAGGCCCAGCCAAAAGAATTCATTGAAAACATTTTAAGCATAAAATATTATAATTTTTTTGAAGCATATATATAAATTCAGCACTTGGAAAAGGAGTGTGGGGAATGGATCTATCTAAAAAGGATATCAAGCAATTCCCACATGCCACTAACTGGAGCAGGTTTTTGACACGTTTTTACTACGCTCAGCCTGTGACGACATTGAGGACACTCTGTCTTTCAGAGGTATTTCCCTGGTCTATCATAACAATATTACAGTTTTAATTATCTTGTAATTAAAGCTCTTAGGAGCTCATTCAAGGTTCAGGCACCTTTTCCTCTCGTGGCCCCTGCCCTGTGCCAGCCCCCGTGACAGGGAAGGCTCAGCCTGCACTCTGGGAACAACCTGAGGGAGGTCTGGGAAAGGGCAGTGGAATAGTAATTGCTCTTCAGCTACTTATTTATGCCAGATTCCCAAAGGACTACTGTTCTGGGAAATGTTGAGGGCTTTTTCATTCCCAGAGGGTTGAGAGCTGCGCTGTGGTCAGAAGAGAGTAAAACTTTTGGGATTTAAGTGACAGGAAGAAAGGGCAGAAAGGGATACCCAGCCACGGCAGCGCTGCTGTCTGACAGGCTGTTTATTTATGCTGTGTACCTCAGCTAAATGAGTCACACTTTAAATAAGAACACAACAGAGCTGACAAATGACACGTGTGAGGCCCTCTTCAGACCTATTTTTCCTACAAATAACTAAAAAAACAGTGGCTAAGAGAGAAAGTGAGCTCTTTGCAGGCTCACAAAGAACACTTGAGAAGACCAGCAGGTAGTTTAAGCTGGGAAACTGGTGTGGGGCAGGAGCTGGTGAAACAGGGAACTTTCTCCTGGAATGTTTTTTAGATACCTGGTTGCCTGGGGTGTTTCAGGCTTTGAGCTTGTGTCTCTAACAATGTTTCCACTGAACCATATTAAAATGGAAAAGAGTTCCAGTCCAGGGCTCTGTGAGATCTTTAGAGATGGCAAGAACAAAATTATATTATTTATAACCTCTGTAGTGCCCTTCTGTAGGAGTTTGTGGGTAATTTCTGGAGTTAGCAGAGTTTTATAAAGCTAAGGAAAGATGGATATGCCCCTCTCAAATTAATCTCAAAATCTGACAGATGGTTCTTTGAGGGTCTCTAATTTTATCAAATGTTAAATACCAAGTGTCTGATTGCCATGGTACTTATTTTGCCTCTGAATGAGAAAAAAAATAATAAAATCTTTTGGAAAATACATATTTTGTTTTTGCACAGAAATGATAAAAAAAGGTCCTCAATGATACTTTTGGGAAAGGCAAAAAGATAAGGATAAATAATGAGGACTGGTATAAAAGAGTATGATATAAAGCAAGGGGCAAAGAACCATGTTTTCATAACTGAATTTACTTGGCTTTAGCATTCATATTTAATTGGTTTACAGGGAACAGCTGACCTGCACTGAATGATAACTGCTATGCTAAACTGATTTGCAGGGAAGTCAAGTCTCCAGAATCAATTCAGTACAGTTCACTTTGACAGCTATCAAAAAACTTCATTACCAATTCCTTAGTTGGTGACTTTCCTCATCCAGTGGTTTTCATTCTTTACAATGCTGGGGCTTAATAAGAAATTCCAAAAGTTCTTAGTTATGTTTCAAATGTAATTATTCCAAATGTAATTTTAGGTAGAAAATGTATTCAGGCAAAACTGTTTAAGTTGGGGTTATTTTTTTTTTCAAAAGCAATAACTTAAAAAATCTTTTTCTTTTTCAGCTGTGCACTGAAATAGCTTGGCTGTCATTAACTTGAGGATATGGAAGACAGAGAAATCAGAAAATGACACTTTCATCCTAAACACAGGCAAAGTTCAGCTGTGTCATATAAAATCAGTGATAACTGAGAAAGGTACTTCCATGTGCTCCCTCCCTCCTCTGTCCCATGTTCCTCCACCCCTCCGTGTCCCACCAGTTGTCAATGACAAGACATGATGTTTACTAATGACCATCTCTATTTTCTGATCTGGGTCAAATTTGTATTTTTTGTTGCTGTGCCATTTAATATTTTGATGCAATGGACTTAACGGTAACCTAGAACACTAACACTCTTTGTCTCTCAGAACTGTGAGTATAATTTGAAAAGCTGGAGGAAGAAGGAATGTTGCCTCAAGGATTTGACTATTACTGTATTTAATTACACCATTGTGAGCTTGAAAATAGAAAGTATAACCAGGCAAATTTTTGGGTTTTTGTTGGTTTTGTTTTTTTTTTTTTTTTTTTTAAGAAACAACCATGTTCACTTCACCAGCTTCTGTCACTCAGTGTTATTCTGTTAGACTTCTATTCTCATTCTCTGTATCATTCATTTCCAGGCTGAGGGGTTTTGCACATGAGAAAAAACTCTGTACCATTAATCATCCTCTGTGTCTTTTCCAACTTGGGTTGATTGGTTTCAAACTGAGAGGAATTAGAAGTGCTCCTCGTGTTCAACACATTGGCAAAGGCTGAGGCATTGGTGTGACCAAACTCTTCCAATTTAGTTGGAGAAGGATGATGATCTTCAGGCTTGGTTGAAAAAACGTTCATTTACCCAATTAAGTGCTGGAAACATGCAAGGAGCCATGGTGAAAACCCTCCTTGGAAAAGAGCAGAGTTCTCTGCCACTGAGTCCTTAATAGGCTGAATATTTTCAGAACTTCTTCTTTCCACATAAAATGATCTAGAAGTTCATGGTGAGCAGTATAACAGTAGCTGTAAAATATGAAGTGGCAAAGGTTTGATTCATGGCTCTATTTTTCTTACCTCTGTTACATTCAGGAGAAAACTCCTTAGATTTATTTCCATGGTGTTCACTTTGTAAACCACTCACATTCTTACAAAGACCACAGTGTCTCTGAATACATTTCTGAAACGGGAAAAATGAATGGTGCCAAAAATGCCTTTTGATGCTGACACTCTTTGAAGATCAGATTGTTCCACTGCACTTCAGGTAATTTAAGATTCCCAGAATTTCTTACAGAATTTAATGCTTTTTCTCACTTCCTTGACCTCTTTTATCCTTGAGTTATACTGAGGAAGTTACTGCTTCTGCAAATAACACTTGTCTTATTGACAGTGTAGGTAACTATAAAAGCTTCCTGTAGCTTTTATAGTCCTGTTTTATATTGCTATAATACCACCCCAATGCATAAAATTGTCCAAAATTCTGGTCTCTGGTGACTGCATCTACCTATGGGAGCTTTTTATTGTTTCAGCCTAAGGCTGAAATTCTGTTATTAACAATGAAAATCCTACATTTCTTTTTCTAGTTGATCATGGCATTTGATTATTCAATAATTTAATAACATTTGTAATTCTTTTGGAACTAGATTCACTTTTAACTTGTTATTCAAAAGCAAGGTATAACCTAGTGCTGAGGTGGTACTTGAAGGGGCAAATAAACAGTGAGAGTGAGATTCCATCTCTTCCCACTCCTGTTCTTTCTCCTCAGTCTCACTCTTGCCAAAGCTTTTGTCAGCCCACTGACTATCTCATTCATCTGCTGTGACTCTGTGTGACAAATTGTACCTATTCCTGTTGTTGACATTCTGTGATGTTCCATGACACTTGATTCATGGAGATACATTTACTGGAAGTCCCAGAGTGATCATCACCATCATCATCTTTAGCCAAGTTGCACACAGCTCCCAAACCCTTAAAAGCACAGAATTTGATTGCTTCTGCATCCTGTTGAACCTGGCATTTTTAATATGCATTCAGTTAAATGTCCTAAACCAGTTTATTTGTCAGGATTATGACGAATCTGCCTGTACCTTGAAATCTGTGTGTTCGCAGACACATCTCCCTCTGTAAATTTTATTTTTGGGGACAGCAGGTCGTAACATCAACGCAAGCAGCAGAAGTGTGCTAGCACAAGCCTCTTGCTGCTTAGCACATGCCACCCTTCCTAGCTGATGGTATGCAAAACACTGAAAAGGAAGGATGATTTAACATTCTAATTGAAAGGAAGGAATTATTCAGAGCAAGCTGATCTAATTTAGAATAATAAGGGTTATGTGGAAACAATCACCCCTAACTAAATCATGGTGCAACAGCAACTTAGCAGGGTCACCAGTCACAACAGTATTAAAGAACACTTAAAAGACACACAAGTTTATAGCCAAGGATTATCATTCACGAGCCCCACATTGCCCATGATGGGCCATATTAAAGGGCCTGGGATTTATCCCTCCTGGAATACTGTGTGGACTGTGTGAAGTAGAGTGGTGCACAGGGCATTTCATGAACTGGATATTTTTTCTCCTATCTGAAGAATTATGATTATCTGTAAATTAGAAAACTGCTGCCAATCAGACCAGAACATGCTTGGATGTAGTAAAACCTTCTGGAGTTGAGAGGGATCAATCCAGCTGCTGCTCAAATCATGGTGAAGCAGCAAACTCCCAGATCCAAAAGGGCAAGATTAGCCATTTCCTGGGATTTTTCTAAGTGGTGCTGTACACTGCCTTTCACTGGGACTGGTATTTGTTAAGTCATCAGATGGTTTTTGAAAATCTTCCACAGAAGTGTGATTGTTTTAACTTCCTTCTCAGAGAAGGTGCAGATTAATCACAGTAGAAGGACTCTTAGATGGAAAAACGTCTGAGAGTCTGATTTCATCAAAAAGGATAAGAAATATTTTATCTCCCTGTGGGCAGCCTTCATCTCCCTCTATCTGTGGATTTGCTCTGAAAGGTCTTTTGTGGAAGGGAATTATTTAGCTAATACTTCTATGTTCATCTTCCCTGGTTAGTTCTGTTGCAGTCTCTCTCTCCCAAGGTTTCTTATTCCATTCATCAGCCTTTTCTCCCAAGTAATTTCTCACCAACCCTCTTTTGCATCTGAAGTGGTCATTTTTTTTCCTTTGTAAATCCTTCGCAACTTGTCAAAGGATTTTTAAAGGGTTGCAAATACTGGTTTTATATAGAAAAAATGCTTACATAGAAGTGAACATGGCAACTTCTGTTTACCTGTTACTGGTAGCATTTTGTCCAAGAGGAGCTATGATTTTTAAGAGTTTTAACAGTTTATAGAAATTTGTCTCTCAGAAACAATTTAGGGTTATCCACATAACTGAATACCTGACACATAGGACTGCAGCATTATATTCTTTGGGAAAGAACTTTCCCTGAGGTGTATTTGGTATGTGAAAATGAGAGACTGAAATTTTGTCACATAGTCATTACAGGTCAAACTAGCTTAAATCTCTTCTTGACAGGATGAAATTAATGATTATAAATAGAAACATTTCAAATGACTGAATGCATTTCAGTGTGATAATCTTCATAGTACAGTATTTTAGTAATAATACACCAAGTCATGACTGTAACTTAAATTTAACATGCTAGTGACAATTCTTAGAAGTGCTTTTTTCCAAAATGGTACAACTTCCCTTGTCAATCCCTGTAACACCATATGCATTTCCATGGCAAGACTTGGATCCAAACATTCCCTCAGTTTTAACTTGGCATCTAGAACTGAATCTGTTGTTTTGTGATAAGTTGTTCTTTACTCGAGAAGCAAAGGAGAGAAGACACTGTAGCACAGACATTTAATCCAGTGTCCTGCAAATGACAAAGCTGAGCACTAGTACCAATAGAAAGAAAGAAAGAAAGAGAAGGAGAATTGGACTATCAGGAAATGAAATTACTTTGATATTTTATTTCTTGGGTGGGAGTGTGGAAATTTTTCTGTCTGCTCTTAGATGGAGAATTAATTCTGGTGCAAGTTAAAAAGAAGGCCAATAGCTAAAAGCTATGCAAGGTAATAGGTCTTTTACAACTAGATAAGGCTTTGTGTGACAGTCAACCAAAGTCTTAAAAATTAGTACAAAAATGATGACTTAAAATGACAGAACAAACAAGAGGCATTCAAGTTTTCTAATATATTTGGGGCTAGACAGACAGCTGAAAGATTTTAGATGAAAGAAAACATTTGCTACTGCAAACCTTTCACTGCAGGTGTAAATGAGGTTTATAGGAGGTTTAGCACTGATTTTTGGATAGAAGTCATCTGGAAATCAGTGAAAGAAATTCAAATGACCTGAGGGCTGCAGGGGGTGAGGATATTGGCATCAGGGTGCTGTACCAACTGTCTCCCAATGGTCTGAGAACACAAAGAGATTTGTGGCTGTTTGGTGAGGGATTTTCAGCTGTTTCTTGACAAATGGGACTGGAGCAGGGTTTAGACTTGATATTAAATCAGAAGATGAGGAAATTCAATTTCACATCTGGGGAAACTGTGGCAGTTGATAACTGGTGGCAAAAAGTAGCTGGTTTTTCTGCGTACGTGAATAAAAGAGAACAACAATTGGAATTGGAAAGGGAAAAGTTTTAGTGAATTGAGGACGGATGAACTGCTTCTCAGCTCAAGCACAAGGAAGGACCTTAAAAATCTAATCAATATAAGGCTTAGTATTTTGGCATGTGTATGAAATGCTACTTGCACATGTGTACATATCACTACTCAATTATTTTAATTAAACCCACTCTTAAAAAAACCCTAAACAAACAAACTTCCAAAAGTTAAACATTATATATAATTTTTTTTTAAGTTGTGGAGCTGCTGACCATTTTCTTTTTTACTTCATTTGGAAGAGAAGTGAGAATAGGGGAGGAAAGGAAGGAAAATAGAAAAAAACAAGTCAATTTAGATTCTTCTCTTTGAGCATTCTCCTTGCTGCAGCTTACTTTTGATCCCACAATTTCACTGAACATTCCTGGATGACAAATGGCAGGAGGAGTCAAAATGTCTAAAAGATCCAGGACTAGTGAAATTGGGCTCTCCTGGCTGAAACAAAGAGTAGTTCCTGCATGTAATTCTCATTTAATTGCTGTATCAAATATGACTGACAAGCTGTATGGGGATGGAAGGTTTGTCTCCCTCACCCTGTACATTAATATCACTGACAGATGTGGCTGGGTTATAAAACTCAGTGGGGATCACTAAATCTAGAGATGTAGAGACATAAGGCTTCCCAAGAATAAAGATGATCAGCCAGCAGTGTTTATCATCAGAGTCACACAGTAGGAGACAAAACATTTTGGAGTTGGCCCATGCACTAGGTTAACATAATTTATTTTCTGCTCAGCCTCTCCAACATACTTTGCAAGTGTGTGCAACTCTGCTTTAGATATCCATGCTTTTTTTTCATAATTATTGGTATACACTGATAATACCAAGTTCGAGCTGTATCCTTAGTTACCAACTAAGATTCTGGCCTGATTAGTGTCAAGTTTCCCCTTTCCCAAGAAAATTTATGGTTTGTTTGTCTGAATGTATAAAAGTATGTAAATCTAAAATTGAAGATTTAGCTCCAGTGCTCTCTCCAAACATATGTTCTCAACAAACAGCAAATGCTCTATCTAAATTTATGTTTCAGAAGCTGTCTTGGCAATTCTAACAGCCACTTTATTTCTGACTTAACCTTAAATTACCTAATGATGATGGTAAGCTGTTCCATTCCTTTGGAGAATGGTCCTAGAAGCTGTGGTACTGACCTGGATTAGAGGTGAGTTCGTCCCCAACATATCTACTAGCTGCAGTGGCTGTTTAAAAGCTGGTGACATGGATCTGGATTGTCCTTTCCTAAGTATTTTGAAATGTCAAGGGAGTGAAAGAGGAGGAGGAAAGGCATTTTTTGTTAGTAGTTTTGTTACCTATTTCTTTTGCATGAACTAGACAATATCGGTAGAGATTTGGAAGGAAAAAAAGTTTGGTTTAAAATTTCTGTTTGGGGATTATTGCTTTCTCAGCGTTCCAAATGTGTGCTGTTCACAGTTTTTACAAACTTCATGCTCAGTTGACAAACCTTATGCAACACTGTCTGTGCACATTCCTTGTTGTTGGCCTTTTTTTCACAGCTGGCACACATGGATCTTTTTGCTCCTAGAAGGGAAACAGTGCAATTACAGCTTCTTTCCTCTTTGTAAGAGAGGTTACAGACTGACTAACAGTATTTTTCAGTCTGCAGAAAACTCACTGTCCCTTTTGAATGAGAAGAAGGTGTCACACAAATGACTCATCTAGGCAAAAAAAATTAACATGTGGTGGCATGAAGAAATGAGTGGTTTTGGCAGAGTGCAATCTGCTACAACAAGTATTTCACCTCTTTTCATGTTCATCAATTTGTAGGTTTGTGACCAAGGAATATACAATTTCTTTGAAGCCAAAGTAGAGTTACTGGCAAAGCCAAGACTTGATCTGTGTTCAAGCTGTAAAGGTTTTTCACTGGGATTCTAATGCAGAGGTAAAATATTTCTAGCCACTTAATTAGTAGGAGGCTTCATTTTTTTTTCAGTTAAGAATAATGAAAAATGCATTGTCTCTGTATAGTCAATTACTTGTTAGAATACTTTGGGTTTTTTTTTAATTGCTTTATATTTGTAAATGCATCAGTTTCACAAATAATAATCAAAGGAACAGAAAAATGCCTTGTAATTTATTATTGTCTATAAAGGTATGTACAGGTAGGTCTTTTTACTGATGAGTTGAATGAGCCTGGGGAAAGTCAGAGCAACCCCATGTGGCCTTGCTTTGTGGGCTGCAGGAAGCAGCAGGAGCAGGAGCAGCCCTGCTGGGGTTATCCCTGGGGTGCAGGATAAGACAGAACACAAGTTGCTGCCCTGAAAAGTAAACAACACTTTTCACTACCTACCAATTATTGGTAGCCCAGGGAAGCAGAGGAGTCATTTCAGTAATTTCAGCAGGTTTTAGATGAGGTCACCTTTTGTAACTCAACCCTTTTTACTGCAAATACAATTTCATTCAGGTCAAGGAGCTGGGAAATAGAGTTACTAGTGATTTGCCCTATAACTTTTATGATGTCCATGCTCTTATTGTTTCAGCTGAGAGAATGGATAATGCTCATAGGAAATGGAAGTTTCTGTAAATCCTATCTTTATCTTCTCCATGTGGGTAAATATTAACGGGAAAATCTTTTTTTGCACACAAAACCCCAGCTAAATCTGCAGCAGATGTAATGGCCCACTTCCATAGCCTACAGCCTCAAGATTTGTTTATATTCTGTAGATTAACTGTTCAGATGTTGTTCATTTTTAATGCTGTTTGATTACTTGTAATGAGCAGCCATAGTAATAAAATAAGGATATATGAAAAAACAAATGTCCACGTTATCCATAAGCCCAGACTATTTGCAGTATTTAGGTGAGAGCTTATTCCCATTTTTTTTTTTGTTCCTGAAACACTTGGATGCTTTCTGCAATGAATAACACAACACTGCAGCCCTGGATGGCAGACTGGCCTTCAGGTTTGGCCCTTTATTTATAAGAGAAATTAAATCTGCTGAAATGCATCTGGCTTGTTTGTTAATAGAAGAGCTGCTAAACGAGGTTTTGGAGGAAGAGGGAAAAGGAAAAGAAAAAGAGGTATAGGAAAGGATGTGTGAACACAGCACACGAAGGTGGCTTTAGGCTGTACCTGCTGTAGTCAATGCAGGGAATATACTGGCAAAATTGGAACTCAAAAGAAGTCTGTCTTTGATATGGAACATAGGCTCAGCAGGATCATTATAGGACTAAAAGACCAAGCTTTCCTAGCCAACAAGGCAGACCTAAGAGAATGTGAAAGGGGCTGTCTGAATGTCAGGAACTAAGTCAGTTTGATGAGCACTTGCCTTCCAGAACAAGCTTAAAAAGCCTGTCAGAGAGGGAGCCCAATCACATTGTTCTCAAGTGGAAAACACATGGCAGTACTGCACTAAAGAAAGGTGACAGGGCCCTTTCACCATGGGCTAATAAAGAGAATCTGTGCCATGGAGCTATACCTTAAAAGAGGATTGTCAGCACTTGGAGGACTGATCTGTGCAGGTTGGAATACACACATACCAGTGCAGGCACTGGAATTTCTCTCCATTGATTTCCACTTAACAGAAATATTTTTTTTCAAAGATGACACAAAATAGCTTTGGTCTTGCTGAGCGTGTTCATTTTGCTGAGAATGACTTGGTGGTGAACTCTTACCTCCCCAGTTTTCCTCGGCAACCTTGAAACCTTGTAAATACCTTATAAATAGACAGCTTTTGCTAGACTTTTCATTCTTTTCTGTATTTTCTTGGTGCAGGTCAAGACATACCTAGGGCAGGGAGCATCTTTCTGTACAAAATCTAATTTTGCAGCATTTTCCCTGGTGATGTTTTTTCCTTATCGAACATGTACCTCTGTGGGAGGTGGTAAGTGTTGTCAGAACAGTTTTCCATGTTATTATTGCCTTCTCCAGATTCTTTTTGATAATTCACTATGTGACTGATTAGTTGTTGCTATTAAATGTATTATCACACAGTACAAAGGGGATATACCTGCGTGAGAAAGCTGTAGTGGGCAATTTAATCAGATTGGAAGACAAATTAATGCATGTTTTCAACTTGATCCCTCTGTTAGACCTTAACTGTCATTATTATCCACATTTAAGCTGCGGTGGCATTATCTTGACTCCTGTTGCAGCCAGTTTGCTGAGTGCACCTCAGCAGCCTACATAACCTTACCTAAGTAGCCTAGACAGGTTGTGTGGGGTGGGGTTCTGTCCCATCTCCTCTGGCAAGAGTGGTTATCCTGCTGGCAAAGGAATCTTCAGGACCCTCCTGTGATCTCAGTGAGCTCAGCAGCCAAAGCCCGGAAAATTACTTTTTTATTTGAGCTTTGGCTCGTCGTCGTGCGAGGACCTGCAGCGGCTTTGGCACAAAGGGAGCTGGAAGGGCAGATAAAATCCCCGCGCTACCTCTTTTGGGCTAGGCACCGACCAGCCACAGCGAGACCTGCTGCGGGGTGGCATGAGCCCTCCCTCTCGCAGGGAGCCGTGTACCTACCGAACAACCTCCTTCATTTCCCTCTCAGCCTGATCAAAACGTGAGACGAGAGGCCGGGTCGGGAGTTTTAGCTCCCGCCTCGGGCGTTTCGAACCTGCGGTGGGGAGACACCTGTGAGGGACAGCGCTCTGAGGGAACAGCTGTCAGCGGGGAGCGGCGCCGAGGGGGCAGCGCTGTGAGGGGATCCCGGCCCCGTGAGAGGCTGCGCCGTGAGGGAATAGCTGTGAGGGGCAGTTCTGTGAGGAGGTCCCAGCCCTGTGAAGGAACAGCTATGAGGGGCTGCGCTGTGAGAGGGGTCTCAGCCCTGTGAGGGGGTCCCTGCCCTGTGAGAGGGGTCTCAGCCCCGTGAGGGAACAGTTTGAGTGGATCCCAGCTCTGTGAGGGGGTCCCTGCCCTGTGAGAGGGGTCCCAGCCCCGTGAGGGAACAGTTTGAGTGGGTCCCAGCTCTGTGAGGGGGTCCCTGCCCTGTGAGAGGGGTCCCAGCCCCGTGAGGGAACAGTTTGAGGGAGTCCCAGCCCTGTGAGGGGGTCCCCCGCGCGCTCCCTCGCGCGCAGAGCCGCCTCGCGCCCGTCCCCGCTGCACGGCGGCGGGGCCGGGGCAGGCGCGCGCTCGGCGCTGATTGGCTGCCGCCCCCCTCCCTCCCGCCCTGGCCGCGGCCGCGGGCGGCGCCGCTCGAAGTTTGTGGCCGCGGCGGTGCCGCCGCCGCCGCCCCATCGCCCGCAGGCTGATCCCGGCTCTGCGCGCCCCTACCTCCGCTGCACACCGCCGGGTTCGGGCAGGCTGAGCGCCGGAGGGCGGCGGTCCGGCGATGTCGAGGCGCGGGCGGCGGCGCTGAGGCGGCTGAGGAGGGAGTCGGTCCCCGAGTGGGCGCGATGCGGTCCCTGAACATCACCCCGGAGCAGTTCGCGCAGCTCCTGCGGGACAACAACGTGACGCGGGAGCAGTTCATCACCCTCTACGGGCTGCAACCGCTGGTGTACATCCCGGAGCTGCCGGGGCGCACCAAGGTGGCCTTCGTCCTCATCTGCGTGCTCATCTTCGCCCTGGCGCTCTTCGGCAACTGCCTGGTGCTCTACGTGGTGACCCGCAGCAAAGCCATGAGGACCGTCACCAACATCTTCATCTGCTCCCTGGCGCTCAGCGACCTCCTCATCGCCTTCTTCTGCGTCCCCTTCACCATGCTGCAGAACATCTCCTCCAACTGGCTCGGCGGTGGGTGCCGGGGCCGGGGCGGGCGGTCCCGGGCCGGGCCGGGCTGCAGGGAGGTGGCGGCGGGGCGGGCGATGAGGGGGCAGCGCTTGTGGCAGCGCCACCGCCGAGACCGCTGTTCCCGCTGTCTGTGAGGGACCCGCTTCTCCTTCCCTCCTTCCCTGAGTGAGGCTCTTCTCCTTCCCTCCTTCCCTGACGGATCCCCTTCTCCTTCCCGCCGTCTGTGAGGGTTCCCCTCTGATTCCCGCCCCCCCCGTGAGGGATCCCCGCTCCTTCCCTCCCTCACGTTATGTTAAACCCAGCGCGTTCTCCTGCTTCTATTCCTTAAAAGTTGCGATGTGTGTTTGGCAAACGGTTCGTTGTGTGGTGCTGACGGAGAGGTCTTGCCATACTGTCTCTTTTTGTCTTTTCTAAGTAATGAAATCTGCCTGGCAAGTGAAATATCAGTCTTTATTCAGCTTAAGTTTCTCACCTTGGAGACAGACCTCCGTAACCTTTTCTGAGGAAAAAGAATGCTCCTGGAGAAACAGGGGAGTGACAGAACGTGCAGAATTTCTGTTGAAATAATTACTTTTCTTTTTTTTTTTTTCAATTCTTATTTTTTGGGAAATATGTTGTATTCCTGTTGATGTGAAGGACCTTTGGCCAAGGCTTCCCTGATGCCCAGAAAGAGTGTTTTGGTTTTTTTTTTTCTCTTCTATGTATCCCCTTTCCAAAGTAGTAAAGAACAGACAAAGGTGCAGTCTTACTGCACATTGTATTTATCTTCTTTTTCTTCTTCTTGAAATAGCATTGGACAATTATAAGTGGAAAAATAAAAGGGATGGTTTTGCAGCGAGTAGCAGACAATATCATGCACAACCACAAATTGAAATATTTTTCAGAATATTTCAACATGAACAGAAAAGATGTTGATGAGATGATACATTTATGGTTCAATTTCCAAGGCTTCCTGTGCTCCTGTTGTTGGGAGATAGGGAAGGTTACCTTCAGAACATGGAGATTTACTTCCAGTACCTCCCACAGACTGGAACGCAGGATGGGAATTGACAGGTCAGAGGAGACTTGAGAAGCACACTGATACCTATCCCAGGGAGAAATGGGCTTTATTTTTATCTGAAAAACAGGAACTTTCTGGGAGAAGCGATGAATACAACACTCCCGGGGCTAATGCTAGTAAGGACAGCTGTGCTGCTTTCTTATGAGCTTCTTTGGGGGAGGTAAACTTTGGTTTAAGACAGTACAGATGTTGAACCCCAAAACTAATTAGCACATCTAACTAAAAATCATGGGATAAACTGACAGCTGTACTGCTGTGCCTTACTTTTGACTACTGTAGTTCCAGTTCTCCTTCCTCCCAGAAGAACACAACAGTAATTACTGATGACATCAAGTGATCTCGCATACAGGGGAGAGAGGACTGAATTAAGTAGCTTTCCTTAAAGATAAGAAGTGTGATTCTTCTCTCTCTTAAGGAAAGCTCTGGTCTGTCAGCTTGACCACACATCTGACCAGGATCAAGTAAAGCTGGGTGGGATGAAGCCCCCATGTGGGGTGAATTACAGCAGATTAGAGCACAGGCAGGTGGAAGAGTATGGAGAAAATAGGTGTGTTTACATTTCCCTTCTCTTCATGAGGATGCTTGACAAAACTCTAGCAGTAGTAAGTGTAAAAGGTGTAGCATAGTTGCAACAAGTATCTTAAAATATATTGTTCTATGGGGTTTACTGTGCTTTTTGCCTTCCCTCTTTGCTGTGCTAGAGCATCTTCAGTCCAAGTGAATCCATAGGTCCCTTTGACACTGATGGTCCTGGTAAGATAATTAACTAACAGAGTAGTGGGAGGACATAATAAGTACCATCATTGATGGGTGTTAATCTTGCACTGTTGGGGGCAGGGGGTGTGATGTAAAATTCAGGAAAATAAATGAGACATGAACTGATGGTATCCCAAGAGTGTCTGATTCCAAGTCTTACACTGTGAAGCGTGACTGGTGATTACAGTTATACTGCAAATCAGAGCTTGCCAGTCCCAGAGGAGTCTTGTCCTTTCTAGATTTGCTGGTTTATTTTGCCTTCTGCCTTTCATTTTGTAGTCTGAAAAATCTTATTCTCGTCCACCTTAATGCAGCACTGCTGAGTAGTGCAAGCTCCAACTCTGTTATAGATAAGGGGATTTGACTTGTAATATATCCTTGCTGAAAGAAGTGGTGCATCCTGAGACAGCTGATGCTAGAAATATATTTGGGATTCTGAGCAGCCAGTCACTTTATATCTTGATTTATTTGCACCCTAACTTCACCTACAGTTAAAAAACTGAGTGTGTGCCTCACTGTGCCTGGTTGTTATGCAGCATTAACACAGTCCCTTTAGCTCTATATAGGCAGCAACTGGAAGCAGCACCATATTGACTAAGGTGAATTGGCCTTACTTTTGACTCTCTGAACTCTTAATAAAATCTCTGTAGCTGTGCGAGACTGTAATAGTGGCAGTACATGATTTAATTTCCAAATTTAAACTTTGCAACTAAAATGGCTGTAATTTCTAGGGGAACTTTTAATGAAAATCCTGCAAGCTAATCTCTGTAGTGTGGAAGAAAATGAAAATTGTGGCTTTGGCATAAATGATCACTGGGTAAGAAAGGTAAAATGGGAACTCGAGTGAGAGGAAATGGATGCTTTCAGCAATGCTATGTCTTGGTGCAAGCTGGAGCAGTTGAGGATTTACCCTCATATGATCATAGGTGGGAGGCAGCAGTAGTGGTCTCGTCATGCTGGTGGCAGCACTATCAAAGATAAATTTGGGCTTTTGTCTCTGGGTCAGATATGATGGGAGTTGCTTTATTTTCTGACACTGCTTAGTTATCTGAACAGTAGTGCTGTCTTTACAGAACTGTCTGGGGCGACTGGAGAGTCACTTTGGGGTTGTGTAACAGAACAGCCCTGGCAGAAGATAAGGGCAGAACTTGAGGTTATAGTACAGCTGGTGCCATGCTCCATCTTTCTTGTGGCTTTTGTGTCTTATCAAGTAGAATATGTATTCTCATGACAGGTGTCAGAGGGTGACTTTCCCTGTCTCTTGGGGAGCGGTGAGTCACCTGAGGCACTCCTAACACGGGGCATTTGAGATGCCCTCGTGTATCTTTTCTGGCACTCAGAGGGATGAATATTCTGTAGGGATCTGTCATATCTGGTGCTCCTTGAGATGACAGTTCCCTCTTCTCTAAAGACTTGATTGAAAAACAAGTGGCATCTTTTACCCAGTGCAGTCTTTAAAGTGCTTTCTGCTCTTTGCCAAATGTCTTGTGTCAAGCAGTGTGTTACCTTACTTACAACCTTCCTGTGTTGTAGCATGTAAACATTCCTTTCTGAGGGATGAAAGCTGCATCTGAGGAATGGAAATCACTGGGCATTTGTATCTGATATGCTGGGATACTTCAGTATTCTTCAGTGGAACATTAGAAACTTCTTCACTCTGTTTTCTGGAGTGTTCTTTGATACTGAATAGTTTCCAAATACTCAAAACTGCTGTCATGCCACAGGGGTCAGTACTAGACAGGGAAGCTGGACATGAGACATGGAGTTACTTGAATCTTCTTTTTTCAAACTTCCCAATTTCAGTTGTCTTAAGAGTTGCTCTAAGTCAGATCAGGGACACAACAACACTCCTCATTTGCCTTCTGCACTGCAAGAGATTATACCCTGGGATTGATCTGCTTCTGTTAAGAGCAGGGTGATTTTTGTAGTTCTATCTGTGTTGGTGAAATTTACCTTGTCCTTCTTTCTCCATGTCCTGACATTGTGTATTATGGGGTACTTGCTCATGCGTAGAGGCAGGAGTAAAATTCTGTATGAAGATGGTTTGAGAAAGGGTTATACAGTGAAGGCCTCAGTAAAGGAAATAATAGGCTTTTCTACGTGTAATATATTGGCAGGGTGTTTTGCAAAAGAATGCTGACAAAAGGAAACTTGCATATTAAGCATAGGGAATTTCTTACTACAAGTTGTGCAGATCAGTAACTAGCATAAATATGAAACACACTGATGTGAAATATTTACTGTTGCATTAATCAGGCAAAGAAATAAAACAAGTTTTAGGATGCAGATAGATTGATTAGTGTTTCATATGGAGAGGTTATTGTGTCCTTTTTCTTGGTGGAAATACGTGGCATTCTCTGCCTTGCATCAAGTGAATGAGGGATGTGTTTGCCATGTCCTGCTTTGCTCCCTGTTAGTGAGTCTGTCTTGAGATCTAGATCTTTGTCAAAAAAACCACACTTGTTCTACTTGTTGTCTGTACTACTTTTATCAGAGGATGGCTTCAGGATTTTGCCCTTGTTACCCTAATAAAAGAAAAACCTGATCTTTTAAATGGGTGTTGAAATGGATAAATCACAGTTGCAGGCACAACATGGTATAATGAAGGCATGAAGCATTGTTTAAGGGAGTAACATTTGTGTTTTCAGTCTTCTGAATGTGTTATCACTGGAGAAAACTAATCATTGCCTGAATAATCTATGCAAGTTTTAGCAGTGCATGAGGAATGCTTTTGGGAACCTCTCAGATTCTTGAAGAAGAAAAGCAATTGGTTATTTCCTTTCCCAATATTCTGCTGCAAATAATTTTCTTTCCCAGTTGGAAATGATCAGTATTAAATGCTGCAGTGCTGTCTTGACTGACAGTCTATTGAAAGTGTTTGCTTACCTGGTAGAAAGTTAAACGTTTTGATACATATATAAGGTATTAATTAAAGTATTATTATTATTTAAATTATTCAGAAAAGTCAACACTTTTCTATACTGCCTCCAATGCAGAAATGACCACAGTTCCAGTGCATTAAGCATTTTGAGATGCCTTTTGTGCTAAAACTAGGCAATGGGAAAACTTAAAATAATCCTGACTGAAACTCACTGAAGTGAATTTTTGTTCTTTATGTTTGTGTGTTATTCTATCACAAATTGTCCTCTTTAGGTTGGATCTGAAATCATGTTTTGAACAATGGGTTGCTAAAAAAGAATTAAATAGTAAAGTAATTCAAGTGCCTTTATCGTGAAGATAGGAAAGCAAACCCATTTTTATTTTCAGATTGGTTGGGAGATAGGGAATTTCACTGTATTCTTAATCTAAAGTTGATTTATTGTAGCTGAGTGTATCATGACAAGGGCACAGTACCTGATACTAATAACTGCAATATGCAGCAGTCCTGTTAGTGCAGGGAAAGAAGACTTGAATAATACTATCTGTTCAACCATATAATCTCCAAACAATGTTCTAAACTGCTACATTTTTACCAGCTTGGTTAGAAAAAAGATGTTAGCCAGAATATTCCTTTAAAATCTTCCATTACTCTGTGTTAAAAACAGAAATAGGTGAAACATGAAAAATAACTTGACGTGTTTTTAATATGTGCCTTTGACACATCATTCTTATAGTTACCTTATTTAACAATATATTTCCTTTTCCATGTGTACAAAAGTTGATTATGTTTGTAGTTTGAAAACATACTTTAGAGTATTAAAAGACTTGGAGGAAGCCTTTAGTAACTATCTAAGCATTTTGGAGTGGCTGGTGTATATTTATAAATAAACATATTTTTAAATAAAATAATGAAAATTTTGGAAGCTAAGAAGAGTTATATTATATTTCAACCAACTGTCTAATGAAAAACATCCTTTTGTTTCCCATTTCTGTCCCTTCTTGTCCAACTCAGTCAGGTCAATCTGCAGGTGATATGTTGACTTTTCCTTTTGCTACTTTTTTAACAGTTACTTTTATATATGTAAAAGTATATATGTATATAAATATATATGATCACTTTTTGTGTGCTTGTCTTCAAAGAGATGAAATAGGGCTTTTTGCAGCCTTTCCTCCTCAGATTTCAGCTAAAGGCATAGTGGTAGTCTGTGCTCTTTGACAGTGGAGTTACTGGGAAGAAAAGGAGGGGACACCAGTAAAAGGCAGTGAAAATCTGGGAGTTTGGGGAGTTACTGCCTTCTGAACTCGGGTATTCTCTTTGTTCCTTGAATAGTTGGGCGCAAACTGGAAATTTCACCAGACTGATGTGACTTCAGTGAAAGTCACTGTCTTGTATTGTTACTTAAGTAGAGTAATAGAGTGATACTTCTTTGCTTCCTAAGAATATCTGGGAACGCTGGGACTGCAGTGCATCACAGGGAAATCCTTATAATGCAGTATAACTTTGTTTAATCTTGCCTTTTTCAAACTGTAAGAAATAACATATGGTGAAAGTTTGGGGGGGTTTGTTTTGTTGGGTTTTTTTTGTTTGTTTTTGATTTTGCCACTGCTCCAGCACTCAAACTTGAGCTCCTTTCTTTAGTGAAATAGGAACTTAAACATTTCATTAACATCTGCTTAAGGTGCCTGTAGCATCCTAAAGCTTGACTTAAAATTGGATCAGGTATTCCTTTGGCTATTTTGAGTTTATGGATTATATGTGAGTAAGGTATAGCTGATGATCAGGTAAGGAAAATAACTGTTGGTGAAATAAGTAGCTGATACTGAAGTATAAGAGTGTGAGGGAACTGTGAGAATGTGGACATAAAAATTATCTCGGGGTCAAAAAATGAGTAAATGAGAAGTAGATTGGGAAGGGCATTAACATAAGATTCTTGAGAGAAAAATTTATACCAGTTTCTGAGAAGGTAGGGACTTGAGGGTGAGTGATAGAGAATCACTAATATGTTGAGAATTGAACATGTGCTTTTGGGAAGCTGTAGCAGCAATAAAACCTGAAGATACAGAAATACAATGGGAACCTGTGCAACTTTGAAAATGCAGGCAGGAAGTTGCATTTGATTTGGACAGTGTCATTAACATATTGTGTTAATCAGGGAAGAGGGAGAACAGAAAGATGATGGGGAGGTTGAATTTTTCCTCTCATGTTATGCCTCTTAGAGGACTCCTCTATATCTCACTTGACAGGATGATGCATTAAGTGCTAAAGTGTGCAAATAGTGTGCTGTTTAAAAGAGCATAAGGAATGTATTTGCAACAGCAGAAAAGGTAAACTTTTAAACCTTTGTAGAACTGGAGAGTTATCTGCCAAGATAAAAAAAGAATAATGAATATCCCTGTAACTTGGCATGTTTGAAAACAGATGATGGAAGATGTGGTCAAAAGTCAAATGGGAATAAATGTCCAACTGCTAGAGAGCCAGTGAATATGTCCTTAGAACTCTTGGGTTTAGCAGGTGTAGTGTGTGCAACAAAGAATGACTGCTGAAAGCTGCATTTGGTGAATAGCTTAAATAGGTGAGTTAGCAGTTTAGATGTTAAAATAAATCTGAGAATCTTAGTCTGCTCTTTCTAGCCATGGAGTTTAGTATCAACAGCTGTTTCATGAGGTGCAGCAGTTGCATACCTGACTTTCTGATCCTTGCAGGGGCCTTCGCTTGCAAGATGGTACCGTTTGTTCAGTCCACTGCCATTGTCACTGAGATTCTTACAATGACCTGCATTGCTGTGGAAAGACACCAGGGAATTGTGCATCCACTAAAAATGAAGTGGCAGTACACCAATAAAAGAGCTTTCACAATGCTTGGTAAGAATTTAAGCATCTCCAGTATTCATGCATGTAAAGAAATACTCTTCAGTGTGGAGGGCATGACAGAAGACACTGACAGGACCAGTTAATAAGTTGTGATTTTATAAAATAGCTCAAGAATAGTGCTTATATGTATAGTAATAACAAGCCAAAACCCTCACAACAGGCTTAGCATCTGTAGCCAAAAATGTCCTTAACAAAGCCTCTGATAAACCTTTAGCAGCCTTTTCTTTTTCTTTCTTTTTTTTTTAAGGAAAGTTTCAGAATGTACAAGCCCTGCTGAAGCAATGTCACAGCTAAATGGTCCTTCCATTGTTACACAGAGAACTTACACAACGTTGCTCAAGCAAATTAAGTGGCTTTTCCACTTGAATACCAAGAGTTGAAGGTGGTTTGAGAAACAGAAACACGAGAACAAAAGAGATGTTGTTCTGGATGTTGACAGATTTTCTTTATTAAAATTGTCTGCCTTGCCTGACTTTTCAAAGATGAAGCTGTAGAACTGTTCATACCAGAACTTACCCTGCTTGTTGTACGAAGCACTAAAAGCTGTGTTTGCTTACAGGCATAGTCTGGTTGCTGGCTCTTATTGTCGGGTCACCCATGTGGCACGTGCAACGGCTCGAGGTATGGCAGTTTGAAATGGGAATTTACGTCTTACACTGCATCTTTTTGGACCTTTAGCAATGAAATTGAATCAACTCCAATGAAATCANTCTGTTTTGTGTGCTAGCATGAGAAACGCTGAGGATTAGAACTTGTGTGCACTGGAAGAAGGAATACGAATAGGGACTAGTCATGTCTACCCTCCCTAATTATGTCAAAGAGCTCTAATTACATCTATGACTTTCACTGTGGCTTCCTCTTGGTTTACAGGTGCACTGGCACACAGCAATGTAGGACTTAGATTACTGTTTCAGAATTGCAAAATGTTCCCCAAGATCTGGAAAAACCGTGCTTAGTTTAAAATTAATTAGCCACTCATTATAGCTGATGAGTTACCGTACATTTTTGGAGATTAAAAAAAAAGGCTTAGCAGATTCTGCTGCTTGTGAGTCTGAACATTAACGATTTTCTTTCTTTTAAGTTTCTAATATTTGAGGTTTCTATGCCATCTTTACCTGTAAAATGCATAGGCAAGGTTTCCTTTGAAGTGCAAATCAGAGCATGTCCTGACCTTTTTTTTTGCCAACTTGGATCGACCCAACCCTTGATGTGGAAAAGCGTTTGGAAGAATTTTTGCCACTTTGAAAGGTCTCTTGAATTGTGGTTGTTCTGTTAAGAGCGAGGAATATTTGAAGGTGCTTGGCTTTTACACTTGGGGTAAACACTTCAGTGACTCATCTTCTTTGCACTTGTTACAGGTTAAATATGACTTTCTGTATGAAAAAGTGTATGTTTGTTGCTTGGAAGAATGGGCCAGTCCAATCTATCAGAAGATATACACGACCTTTATTCTTGTTATACTCTTTCTTCTCCCACTGATGCTGATGCTTTTTTTGTACACAAAAATTGGCTATGAACTCTGGATTAAGAAACGAGTGGGAGATGCTTCAGTTCTTCAAACCATTCACGGGAGTGAAATGTCCAAAATATCAAGGTTGGTAAGCAAAATACACATGGAACTTTGACTTCTAGAAAGACTTTTTCCTTCCTGGAAGTTCTTTAAAACCACTGCAGAAAACCCAAAAACTGTATTTCCTTATCTGTTGGGAAGTCTACAAGTACAGACTAGTTTTTCAAAACCAGCCATTTAACACTTAGATATCCAATTCAAGGCAATCTGACCAGATTGTTTTCTTCAAATATAGTGCAGCCACATTTTGGGACTGAAGTCCTTTCGTTAAATCTCAGTATATTTATACTTTGTGAAGTGCTCCTTTTTAAAAGATGGAGGCCATCAGTTAGAAGATGATTTGGGGAAAATGCTGCTACATTATTTCTGTGTGTTCTATGGAAAGTCCTTTATACAATTCTCAGACTCTGAACAACATCTTAACTTGACAGAGATTCTAAAGTGTTTGCATGTTCTCAGATGTGTTTATGGGAGACTGCCCAGATGAGAGTGCTCTGTGTGAAAACCTACCAAAATCAATAGTTATCAACTTTGCTGTTTAGCACTAAATATGGGCTGCCTTTAATATGGCCTCATGTTTTTTATCTTTCACTTGGCAAATTGATCTGCCTAATGTGCTACGAAGCCCCAGCAGTTCTGTTCATTGAGCATTAAGTATTGACTGCAAGGAGAATCCTGACAAGCAGATTAAAGATAAATGATTTCCTTAGATATTTGTTTAACAACGTGCGTGAGGAGGCAGACACCTGCACATGAGAACTGAAGGAGGGTGCAATCTCACAGGAGTTAAGGTGACAGGTTCTTCAGGTCACTCCTCAGTTTAATTTCACACAGTGGCCCAAGAACCTGTAACTGCTACCTCTAGCTCAAGTGAGAGATCCATCTTGGAATCTCTAAATGCAGTTGTATGACTTCTATATGAGGATAAAGTTATGTATTCCCCGAGTTTGTGAAATATTACAGTTGAGGCAGGGAGTGTGTTTCTTGCTTTTTTTTTCCTAGAACTTCACCTACCAGCAAAGGCTGAATGCAGTTGCACTCACTCTCTGTCAAATTCTCTGAGTGATCAGCTCCTGCAGTGCTCCCAGATCTAGGAAGGGACTCTTGTTTCTTGTGCAATTAATGGAATTTCGTGTGTTTCCCCCCATCTCTTACTCTTGGAATTATTTGCATCTGCTTGAATAGAGTTTAAACTGCCTTGCAAGATATACTCGTGTCATGTCTTGCTGCAGCTGCAAAGTGCACTGCTTTCCCCAAAGGGAGAAATAAAAGGTGCTCATCGATGTACCAGATTTATATGATGTTGCATTTTTTGTTTCCAAGGGAATTTTGGGCATTCTTCGAGGGTTTTGTTTGCGTCTGCAGCCATCAGAGCACAGTTACAGCTGTAAGTTGAGGAGAGGCATCTGAACTGCCAGTCAATGCCTGGTGACTCAGTGTGGAATGTCTTGGTGCAATTTCAGGAAGAAGAAACGGGCAATTGTTATGATGGTGACAGTGGTGTTTCTCTTTGCAGTCTGTTGGGCCCCTTTCCACGTGATTCACATGATGATAGAATACAGTGAGTACCTGCCATGTGTCATACAAGAAAGGCTTTCTTAGTTTTTTTGTTTGGTTTTTTTTTTTATGATGGAAATACAGGTTGTGACAAGCCAGTGCTGCTGTAGTATTCAGCTACAGAATACCTTCTGCTGGCAAAGGCTGGTGTGGTTATAAATCCTGGATCACTCTCTTGGAATAGAGGTACATAGCCAGTGACAGAGGAATTACTCTGAAGCCTGTGGGTGATAGACATACCTGCAGTGCTCATGGAAAATGAGTGTATTTCAAAAAACCTATTGTTACTGAATCATAAAATCATTTAGGTTGGGAAGGACCTGATATATTTTTGGGAGATCTCTTTTATATGAGGTGTACTTGCTTCAGTCATGCTTCTTCTTCCCTGCTCTGTGAATTAAACAAAAAAAACAAAAGAAAACAAACCACAAATACAATCTTTGTCTTGCATTGAGCTTTTTTTTCAGGGTGGGTGGGTGGGAGGGAACCCAAGCTCTCCACCTGCATTTTTAGAAGGTAAGCTCTTTAGAAAGGAGGTTGTCATTGAATTTGTGCAGCAAATAATCCAGTTCTGAAAAGGAGGTTTACTAGGCCTTACGAGACTTAAAAAAAACCAAGACCATTGGGGTGGTGAGCATATCTCTGCATATTCTTTTTCTTTTTTATGTCTTTTGTGCTGCCCTCATTTGCTGAAAGGTCAAAAGTACCTGGCTGGAAGGTGAAAGTTATTTCTGAGCATAAACCTTCTTGAAGTACTGCCTTAATTTAAATTTAATTTAACTGTTTTGAGTTAAACTGATGAAATATTCGTGCCTTCACTTGCCCTGGTTTTAAGGGGGTAGGCATATTGGAAATATAAATTCTGGACATCGTAGTGATAATACCCAATGAATGCAGTTGAACTTTTTCGGTGGTCTTGACTGAAAATTGTCTTGGAAATGCCCTCAATGCTTGTTACGCTTGCTTTCTGCTATTTGCCCTGTTCTCCCTTCATCTCCCATGTCCTCCCTGGATGCTGGGCTAACACGTGGGACTGTGCAGCAGGCTATGTGTAGGAGCAAGAGGAAGTTTTCAGTAGTTATTGTACTCTGCTTACCAAAGGCAGCAGCTGTTTCTGTGTCTTCTATCACAAATAAGATGGTAGCAGATAAATCAGTAGTTCAGCCAGTCAGCTGAACTAAATGATGTTTGGCTGAGCAGAATTAGACCTGCACAAGCTCCGGTTATTAAAATTGGATTGTCCCACGTTAAGGTTGTTCATAACACTCCATAAACACTGTTTACTCTCCTTTTGTTGCTAATTTCAGGAATTTATTTCAGGTGCTGCAAGGCCTTTGTTTTACTTGCCATATGAACCTCTGTAGTATTTATCCAGAGTCTGGTCCCTGAGTATTTGAATTCAAGAAATTCTGAGTCCTCTGTGATCTCAATGATTAAGAAGTGAGAGATGTGACCAAGATGATGCATTTTTACCTCTTTGAGCTGATCTGTGTCAGCACAGAGAAAGAAGCTGTGTGTGGTCAGTGACAAGACAGGGAGTGGTGTTCAAGTACTTACACATTTAATAGGACATGAATCTTGGAGCAAAAAGAGTAGCTGGAATGAACAAGGCCTGCACTTAGCAAATTGGAGGCTTAATGTTGCTTGGCCATGGGGCAGGTTTTCTGGCTCATAAATTGCCTCTTTCAATTGATTCTGTTATTACATGTACAAAGAAGGACTGTGTGATAGATCTTGATTTTTCCTCCTTGATGAAACCCTTTTGCTAATATTGAGAGCTTCCAGCAAGGTCTTTTGTTGATTTTAAACAAAAGCTTCTAATGCCAGACTGGATATAAATGGGCTAAGTAGTAAGCATTTATGCCATTACGTGCTTACAGCTTATTTCTTTCCTCCTTTCCAGGTAACTTTGAAAAGGAGTATGATGATGTGACAGTCAAAATGATCTTTGCCATTGTCCAGATCATAGGGTTCTTCAACTCTATTTGCAACCCCATCGTTTATGCTTTCATGAATGAGAACTTCAAGAAGAACTTTTTGTCTGCCATCTGCTTCTGCATTGTGAAAGAAAACGCCTCCCCAGCCAGGCAGCCTGGGAACTCGGGGATTACCATGAGGAGGCAAAAGCCAAATGTTTCCCAGAGAGAGGCCACGGACTCGGATGAAGGCAGGAGGGAGGCGTTCAGCGACGGCAACATCGAAGTGAAGTTCTGTGACCAGCCAGCTTCCAAAAGGAATTTGAGAAGGCACCTTGTCTTGTTCAGCTCTGAGCTCACTGTGCACTCTGCGCTGGGAAACGGACAGTAGCGTGACAGGGGGGTTGAGAACAGAACTTAGGGAACTTTCAATAAGCCATTTAAAACACTTTTCTACTTTGCATGCTGAAGTAAGGCAGAAAATATTTTGTGGACTATCATAATGCTGGTTGAGAAAAATGTAATATTTATTTTGTAAGGATGAGGAGTAAAACTTCAGAAGACAATATTGCTGTATGATTTCCTGTGGGGGATAAAAATTGTTTTTCCTAAGCTAGTTTGGGACTTGTTTGCCCTAAACTGCTCTTGCTTGCTCTGTTTATTCTGTGTCTGCACCATACACAGCTGAATGCCAGAAGGCAGGAACTATGGAAAGAGTGTGCACTTTATTTGGACAATCTGGAAATCTGATGTCAGTCTGACATTGTAAGATCTGCTCTCTGCAACTGTGAGGACAGGGGAGCTTCAGATGGGAGTTCAGGGAAGATGCAGACTGAGATGCAATTCTGTTTCAGAAGAATGAAAAAGGGGATATGAAAGAGCCAACAGCCAGAATTTGACTCTGAAGAGATTGAGATTTAACCCACTGCATGCATGTTCATATTTTATTAATAGGAAGCATATTAGTAATTAACAATGCATGCATAATTAATGTGCTGTTTTTACAGGTTAATTCTTGGGTACTGCCCTGGAAACATCCCTGTTCTGCTGAAAAATGGAGTGGTGGAAAAAGAGTATGCAGGTGCCAGAGGTGTGGTCTGTAAACACTGAGTTTTACTCAGAGGCTTGCTTGGATATGTGGCTGTTGGCTTGAAAGTGTGGTGTTGCCATTTTTTGGAGGCATAAAAGGGTCAGATCCAGATCCTGTTGGGACTTCACAGAAGACTTTGAATTGAATATCACATTCTTTTGACCAGACACTTCTCTGAAGACATGCACAAATCTTTCTGTCTCTCCATCATCTTCAAAGGGAATTAATTGCTGTCAAAGAACAGGGCCAGTGTTCTGTTATTTTTAGACTTTACAGTAAATTACAGGGTTGAAATCCACATAAATTCTAGTAATTTTTCCTCTGTGGGCCAAACTGAATAATTGTAAAAGGTGTGGGGCTGGGGGGAAAGTGTGGTCTAGAATCGTACACTGGATCTAATCCCATAAATGAGGTTTTGAAATACAGAATTTGCCACTGCTGCTGAGGTTAGGTTGGATCCTTTAACAGCCTGTGAAATGTCAGTGCTCTCTGTCATCCCTTGCCTCACCTATGGGACCTTGGTGCTCCCTTGCAGTAATTTAAGATTCTTTTGGGGCTTTCTGCCCTGGAGAGTAGGGCTTAACAGTGGTTTGTTATCATAGTTTTCCTCAGCAAATGTAAAGTTTAACTGATTGGTGGTGAGAACTATGTGCTTGGACAGAATCTGTGTTGGAAAATCAATTTATTTTAAGCTTTTTGTTTATTTGCACCGCTAATTTCAGTGACAAGTTTTAACAAGTATTTTACAGAAACTTCCAGGTATTTTATATTTTTGTTTTGTCTTACCTGTTTCTTCTTTTGTCTCATGAAATGTTTTGTCAATGAATAATTGTTCCGGTATTGTACTAATTTTTTTTTTCATTAAAATTCCTTTTGGGGTTTGTTGGTGCTGTTTTGCACTAGGGAGCACCTGCTGTGAACTTCACTCTTTGAGTTTCTCTTTGTTTAAAGATTCATGTAAGCTTGTATGTGCCTCTTTAGGGATTAAATTCCAGTGCTGTTACAGGTGCCAGCTGTTACTGTGACCCTTAGAGCTGTGATTTAAAGGGCTTTGCAGAATAAGGTGAGAAAGGGGAAAAAAACCTTCCAGTCTCTTGGTAGAAGAGGGGTGATGAGTGTTTCAGCACAGATATATGTGGCTATGATTAGGTCAAATATAAACCAAAATACAGAAGACAGTTCTCATGCTGTTCTTAATACTAACACAGTGGTTTTCTTGGAGCCACATAATCTTTTGAGAATTCAGAGCTGCAGGGAATAAAAGATCTGTTATTGACTGAAGCACAACCAAGATTTTGCCCATGTTTTTTTGCTTTTAAATCTGTCAGGGCCTCAGCTTTGATTAACTAACAAACCCAGTTGGTCTATTGAACTGGGTCAGTTGTTAGTCCAGACTAGCAGCCTGTCTCTTCCTGCTTCCATGTGTGTGGCTGTAACTCGGAGCTCCAAGCCAGGGAAAGCTGGCACTGCTGTGGGAGGAACAGCCCTGCTGTCCTCCAGCCTACCCGTGCCTGTTCCCATCTTACAGCAACAGAATTACATGGAGCTATGGTCGCAAAAATTTGTGGCTGATGATTTTACTGGAGAACAGAAAAAATAACCGTGCTCGTTCCCCTAAAATGAGAATATTTATCAAAACTCTTGTGATCTGGGAGGAAAAATTGTCTTAGTTACGAATTACTTGTAATTTCTTTGATTTAAGAACTTTAACTTCTTTTGTTCTCAGCTGTAAGGAGCTAAGCCTCAAAGTTACAATGAGATGATGCCAGGAACTGGCATGCTGATGGAGACAGGAGAATGAAAGGACACATTCAACTGAGCAGAGACTGGAAATTTGAATGGACCAGGAACAAGTGTCAGATGTGTGAGCTTACTCAACTGATAGCAGAGAGTATTAACAAGGAACACAGTGAGTAGAAGGGAATGTAAGTATAGTGGTTGTATGTGCTGCCTGCAGAGCGTCTGAGTGTGGCAGAAGCTGTTAAATCAAGGGATCCAGCACTGGGGAAGGGATGCCTGAGAGATGAGAGAAATTACACAAAGAGCATTGAAGATGAGGCCCAGATTATTATTGCCCAGGAAAAAAAGAAAAGGAATAAGTAGATGAAAGGATTTAGTAGAGCTGTTGACATGGAGAGATGGGATAGGAAGATAATCATGGCAAGCTATGTTTTTATACAGGTATATGGGATGATCAGAGTGTTACAGAAGTTGGGAAAGCTTAGAAACTGTGTAGAGAGCAGTCTGGGGAACAGAACAGCATCTCCATGCACAGGGCAAAAGGCTGGGAAGAGCAAAAGCTGCCCTTTTGGTGCCTCTCCAAGTGGGAGCAGTGGAATGGAGGAGGAGCTTCGCCGAGCTGAGAAGGAGACAGGTAAATGTGGATTTAATGCAGAAACACAGGACTTGGGATTCCATAAACTCCTTCAGAGGCATTCACATAACCTGTTTATTTCTGTCTATACTCAAAATCCTGCTTTGACACCTCAAAACTGGCTTCCAGGGGTATTGCTGGAAACTCAAGCTATCATTAGCTGCTTCTGTCGAAGCTCCAGTGAAGTTTGGTACATTATGAAGTTATTTTACAAGATCTGGTGATTTGAGATGAAAAAGAATCCATGTTATTAATATTTAGTTCATTGCAAGTGGCTCTAGTTCCTCAAAACTCTCAAGATGTGAAGTCCTGGTCAAATGTTAGGCAGAATTTCTCTGATCCTCTGATAAATTCTGATTTCAATTACTATTTTCAGTGCTGCTATCAGCATGTGGTACTAGCTTTACCAGCTTTTGGTTACTGCTGCCTACATTGTTTCCTGTTCTGAGATTTCTGGATTTTGCTCTGTCTGGGCAAAAGTGGCAATTTTTGTCTTACTGACTTATCTGTAAGCAGCTGCAGTGATCAGAACTGCTTCATCCAGATTTCATTTTACAGAGGTATGAATATGTCAGTTCTAAAAAATGATCCTTAAATATTTATGATGTTTGCATTGGAAAAAAAAATCACATTGGGGTAAACTGGTGTTTAAGGCCTTCCTTGACCTGATGCAACTGTAGGTGAAGCTTATGTGTTTCCTCAGATTGGGCTGAACAACAAAGTAGGTGCTTCCCTTGGATTCAGCAGCTGATCTGTAACCCTCTAATAGGTACATCTGGAGGAATAAGGGTCACAGACTGTTTTATTATGAGAGTTTAACCCCCCCCCCTTCAGCCACATCAGTAAACAAAACATGGTCAGACAAAAGCAGTAAAACCTGGCTCCTGTTACTCCTGTAAATACAGACTAACAGTCCTGTGAGTCGAGATCCCATCTGTTTTGCTGTAGAAGGGCTACCCTACAAGCCATGGTTGGTTTTGAGAAGGTTTAAGGGTATTTACCTGTAACATGTAAAAGGCATCTAGAAATTTAGTGGAGTTACAAACAAACTTCTGGAAATGCATCTGTGCCCTGTAGGGTGCTTAAAACTCAAACCAAGTCTTGAGAAATGTCTGCTGCCTGAAAAATGTTGAATTTTGCTGATCAACCTCCTGTGGAGTAATACAAAGCCTTCTATGAAAAGCTCTGATTTCCTTACATTTTGCATTTTTTTCCTCAAAGCAGAAACTTCTGCTTATTTCTTATTCTTTGGAGAAATAATTGTAAACCCCTTGCCTCAAACATATTGTGGCATATGGTCAGTTTGTGAAAGGGACTCTGTCCTAGAATGACATAATACTGTGCTTGAAAGACTTCTTTAGGTCAGCACTCCTTTCTTGGAGGAAAAAAAATCTCTTTTTCTAAGCTTCTGCTTGAAATCTCTTTAGAGCTCTCTAGTTTTTATTTGCTTGTTTCAATGGCAACACTCATTTTTTCTAAATTAATCACACCAAGGTTCCTCTGGGCTCTCTCTCATCAGGTGAGTTTACTGTTCCCTTGGACATGGTCCTTTTCTCCTCTAATCTTTTCCAAACACACATGATCAAATTGTGTGCAGCTTTTCAGCTGAGGCTTTAACAGTTTTTATTCCTTATGGAATAAAAATTCATCCTTCCTGGCATCTGTATCTTTGCTCTGTTTGCCAAAATAAAAGTGCCTTCAGATGCTTAACTTTCTCCTTGTACAGAATTCACAATGTATGACTGAAAACTTGTACTTTCATTCCTCCTTATAAACTGGAAAATCTGGTTTACAGACTTGAAGTGATTTTACCTACATCTTAAACTTACAGCTTTAATCAAAATCAATCTCTTATTTACACCATCTTTCCCCCCTGCTCCTGAGAAAAGCCTTAATTAAATGATTTAAAATTTAAGGCAAGGTCTCTGTAATTCTCTTTTTATATCTTGGAAATACATAGAAGGATTTCAGGCTTTTTCCATGCACTTGTAGCTGATTTGTAAATCCATTTTATTTTCCCATCTGAAATAGGTGTCCTTGCTCCTTGTAATTTATGCCACCTTGATAAATATTCCAATGTCTGTACATATAACTGTTGCAGCATGAGACATAATTTTCCAGTAATCTTTTAATTTCATTTTCTGCTTCAAAAGTTTGCTCAAGCAAAAATTACTCAGGATTGACCTGTACTTTCCACTGCTGAAGAATGAACTGTTGACTGACTGACTAAAGCAGAAGTGCATTGACCTACACATCCATCCCACTGGAGGGGAAAAAGAGTTCAATTATTCTTGGAAAAAAAAGAATTTCCTAAATAAGATTTCTGTTTGTAAAAGAAGGTGGTCAACGTATTTTATTTTTTTAAAGCTTTTTTCTTACTCACCTTTTTTAGGTGTCTTTCCCTCATGCCCAGGCTCTGCTGCGAAGGGTGGAAAAGCTGCTGACTGGCCTGTGGGATGCACTCAGTGAAGAGGCTGGCTTATAGTTCTCCATTTGTATGAGGGCTACTTTCTGTACTCTCCTTGTCAGTATTCCACTGACATCCCTGGGAACCTCCTGCTTTCATAGCATCCCTGACCTCTGCAGTTGGCTTTGTTTAAGATCACTCTTTCCTAAAAACAAACTTTGTTCAGTGAAAAGTCAAGCTTTCACTTCTGCCTTTTGCCTCGCTCCTTTTCTTTTCTCATCTCATCAGTTTGGTTTATTTTTTCGCTTTGTCTTTATTTTTAATCCTGTTGCTTTTCCTCAAGCAACTCCTTGAGTTCCCTGTGCCCTTATCTCTTTTCTACAGATCACAATAACCAGGCAATGAATTTTAATGCTGAAGTGAAGCAGTCCTCTGGTTCAGAATTAGTATTCCATCAGGGCTGGCTATCAGATCTGTGAACTGCATTTCCAGCCCTTATTTCAGGCACACTTGGAAAGACCTTGCCCACTCCACTGGCTACGTTTGGCTTGCTTTTGGTAAGAAAGAAGAGAAAAGAAGAGAGAAGAGGAAAGAGAAAGAAAGCTGCACTGGGAGAGTTGATTTTTCTTGCTGCAAATAAGTACAGATCCCTGTCCTCACTGTAGAGATGACAGCTTAGAAAAAGGTCCAGTAACTTTCTTCTGGGAGTCTGTAAGGCATACACTGTCTAGTGTCTTTTGTGTGCGTGACAACAGAAATGGAACGTTCTTCTGCTTCTTGCCTCTACCATATGTTTTCCATAGATACATCTATTAAGCACCCAGTTTAGCTATTTAGTGGCTTCAGAGCTGAAGAGTCTTAAAGACCATGCACTCTGAGAACAAATAGAAGATATATAGCACCTTCGTGGGTCAGCCTTGAATTTTGAAGAGCAGATTTGCGGCAAAAACATCTGAGAAAATCTCTTTGCCCTCTGCAGCTCGGTGCGTTGTTGTGGCCTCGCTCAGGCTGTAGGTGGCATCGTTGCTGCACAGGAAAATCCGCGCCCTTCCCGGCACTCGGAGGAGAATTGTTATCCTGCAGGCTTCTGGAAGCACGTATTTGATGGGAGGGTTTGGTAAGGGTTTGCTAAGAGTTCCTCTTTCCCTAGGATTAGCACTACGAAGAAACAAGGAGAGAGGTGCTGGATTGTTTGATTTTTTTTCTTTGTGAGGTGGTGCTTTGGAAAGCACTGGTTACACAGCTCTTTTCCTCTGACAGTGCTGATAAACACTGGGTCTCTTCAGTTCTCAGTGGGAGCTGCATGTGACAAGGAATTCCTTGCAGGATTTCCGTGTTTTCATCTTTGGTGTTTCTGTGCTGTTTTCTGGGATACTGCTCACAAAGCTGCTATAGCCATGATGTGTTTGGGGGGATACTGAGGTTGAAAGCCTACACTTTTCTGATTTTATCGGCTTAAACATCAAAATCTGCTCTTGGAACTTTTAAAATAATGATTTTCCCTGCAGAAAGGGGATGTTACTGCCAGGAAAGGGAATGGATCTGCTCTGATAGGAGAGAGGGTGCAGTGTGAGGTCCACTGGACTTGGCCATGGGCTCACACAGTGAATGAAAACCTGTGCTAAGGATCAACAGTATAAGCAATCTAATGGAACTTGGTTTTGTTGTTTTGGGGTTTTTTGAGTCTTTCCTTAGATGTTTTAAGTTTTCATCTAAAATTCATCCCATTTGCTTTGCAAAACTTCTGTTTTCCAAAATAAACGAATACCACACTTAGGTCTATCTTGGTTTTGAAGCTGAGCGTTTGAAACAGAAATTAGTAAATGGATCTACATAAAAAAAGAAAAAAATAGAGATCAAGGCTCTCTGAAATCCTTCAGACAACTCATTTCCAGACTCCCCAGAGTGTGCTAAAAGGCCCATAGCTGTAGGAATCCTGCTTCCCAAATCTGGTGATATAATGGAGGGAAGCCAAAGGAGAAATGGGAAGGGGAGACAATAAAGGGTTATTTATTAGCAGTCAGAAGAAATCTTAGTTCCTAAATGGTGAACTCAAAAATGTAAAGGTTCTCAAAAAATGATCTGTTTTTATTACAGTCTTCAGAGATACTCATTTAAACATTTAATGCACCAGAAGAAAAAGCCTCTAAAATCTCAAAGGGAGGGAAAGAACATTGCTAATTCAAGTTTAAAAAAAGCAAAGAATAGCCTTGTACAGGGAAACAAGATTAGCAACCTGTCAGGGTCAGCTGTAAAATACAAGCCTTGCCATAGTGATGTAAGTGAAAGCTCCACAAATACAAGGACAAATGAACAAATTATTATTTGAACTGAAGAATGGAAATGGAGCATAAGAATCCTTTGTCATAAATTTGCTCTGTGCTCATCAAATACTAAAGGTTTTTGATGAGTTATTGATGTGTGTTCATGAAGTCTGCAGTGGAATAAACCCACATTTCTAATGAGTGGGAGGAGCTCAGAAGGCCATAGCCACAAAAGTGGTTGGTTTGTTTGCAAAGTGACCTGAATTTGCTGAGTTTATAGTAATCATCTATTTTGAATGGAAGTAGTTGATAATCATGTGAAATACAAGGCAAACACTGGTTTTCTTTTTCTTTTTTTTTTTTTTAAGGAGCATACTAAAGAAATATTACTTTTCTTAGCATGTGGTATTTTCCTTTCCCAAGTAACATCACAGAGTTTTGAGATTAAAGAGAAAAATATATCCATTTTTTCAACTAACTGAATTAATTAATCCATTATCTAAGTAATCCATTCAGCAGCTGTGAAGAGGATCCAAAACACAGCCAGCAGTAAGGGAAGTTTTAGTTTCACGAGTTTGTTTTGATATGGATTTGGGTCAGATATTCTTGGAAAGCAGTGATACTTCAGTTTGTCACAGGTGCTTGTTCCAGTGGTTATGGGCAATGCTGTTTTGCTTCTGCTGCTTTTGCAGTACCCACCTTATTCCTTCCTGGGTTTTAATACCTTTTAGAGGTGCCAAATGCTCCTGGAACTTTTGTTCCTGGAGGCTGTGCTGCAGTTGTTGGAGTCTGGTTCACTCACGTCTGTTGAGAAATTACCTCTGCATAAAATACAAGAAGCCTTATGATGAAATAAAGGGGAAAGGGTTATTCAAGGGGTTCTGTCAAATAAGGGCCAGTGCCCAACAGCTAAAAGTGAATCACTTTAGGTCAGTCCTGCGGGTCACAGGAAGGACTCGGCTGCTGGCATCGCGCAGGGAATTCTTTGGAAGCTGACGTGTAGCACAGGGGTGAGCTGACTAATTTCTGCAGCACTGGCTGCAAGGCAACAGCCAAAGGCAGTCATTACACCTGGTGCACCTGAGTTTTTGGAGCAGGTGAATGCTGGGGCAGTGATGTGCCTCTGCACTGCTCACCTGGGAGTAAATATGTCATCTTCTAAGGCTGTGAATCACACTGAGTTTTCAGAGAACATGAGAAATTAGGCACTGGAATGTGAGTTCTGTGTTAAGCATGGTTTTCAAATGTTAACTAACCCTTAGGTTATATGTGATTTTTTTTTCAAGAAAGGGAAGTTTGTGAGGTATTTTGTTTAATCCAACATAGTAGTTTTGAATTCATGCTGTGTTCAATAGAAAGGGCCTTAAGCAATAACCACACCATTATATCTGATAACAGATATTTGCAAAACATCCGTGTGTCTCTTAGGGATGGGTGTGAAAGGTGGGTATAAAACTGTGAATGGTCAAACCAAAATGAGACAAAACATCCTTCCTGGTATTAGCATGGAGCTGAGGCAGAGTTGATGGTTGATTTTGTTCCTTTTTCTGTATTAGTAGTCTGAAAAGGGGGGCAGCACATCCACTTTGTAAAACCCATTACCAGTTTTTCGAGCTAGTCCATTAAATGTTGATGCCTAAAGTCGTTTGCATTTCCCACTGATCTGTGTGTACTCGGTTCATTTACCGTTCAAATTATTGCTTAGCACACTCAAAGGCCAGCGCTGCACTAGGATGCTCCTGCTCAGGCATTAACTCATTCCGTTCATGTTTTCAACATGCTTCGTAGGAAGGGGAAGCATCTGTAGGGGAGGGTGTTTGGGGAGTATTTTGGCTGGTGCATCTCTAGTGACACCTTGTGGGAAGTTTCATAGAATAGTCTATAACTTTTTTTGAGGAAGAAATAGGAATGTTGGGCAAAAAAGTTGCCAAATGCTCCACATGGGATACACTTAAATCTCTGCACTTGCCTGAAGTTAAAAATAAGCTATAGAGATATACTTTCTCACTGTTGAAATTGTTCCTCCTTTATCCATTGAAGTGTTACACACTTCACCCTGTGTGGATGTACATATGGTATTATCTAGAAATAAAATTTAACTTTTAAAAATAAATATATTGATTCACCTTAGAGGGAAACATTCAGAAATGGGAATGTTGTGGATCAGTTGCAGCTGCCACAATTTAGATAAACTCGGTACGTGGGTCATTGCCCTGCTTGGTAAAGTTTTGCTGTTCTGAGGAAAAACTGGAAGGGAAAAAAAGCTCAAAATTTTTTTTTTCTGTTCAAAACCGGGTATTTTGAGAACTTAAGTCAATATTTCACCATCCTTTAACTTATGCCCCTGATTCCATTGATAGTTTTCCTTGTTTCCATGTCTCTTGTCTAGATGCAAGCACTGGGCCACCTGAGCCTGGGGAAAGTAAAAAGAGGTCTCTAATACCTGAATCTAGAAGTTAATCCAGAGGACCTGTTCTATTAAAAAAACCTTCCAATATGAAAGAATAACAGTTTTACAAAGAGGTGAGTTTGACCTCTTCTAATTTATAAAGTCACTAAGATTACACAAACAGGATGATAGAAGTGTTAGCCAGTTCTCCTCCAGCAGCTGCTGTGGAGAAACGAAGCTGTTTGATACCCCTCATATGCTTTCTTTTTAATTAATGCATATGGATACTGTCTGCTTACCTCTCTCTTTCTATGCCTGGCATTTGGAGATGACATATTCGACTCGCTGCTCAGTTTCGTGGTGTTTTGTTTTCGTGCTGATAACACGGGCAGAGGCAGAAGACAGATTGATTTGCTGGTAGAAGTAGAACTTCTGTAGCCAAACCCAGTACAGAGATGATACCTAAAGCTGCTCTCCTCGGTCAGCAGTAACACCTTTTGTTGGGGACTGCAGGACCATCCAGCTGTGCACTTTTTATATGGCTTCTGGGTGGAAGCAGACTGATGGTTTGACTCTGAGGCAGCACTGTGGTTCAGTGGCACAACCACCCCAGCTTTAGGCTCTGCCTGCTGAGCTTCCCCTCAATAACATGATGCCATTGCAGACTTACCGGCGTGCCAGTGTTCTGTGAGACCCTCATGCACTGGGCAGTCCCAGTTACTAAAAATCCCAGTTACTAAAAATCCCAGTTGCTGGCATTTGTATTCAAGGCAGGATGCGTCCCCTTCCTATGTACAGCCTACATAGGAAACAACCCACGGAGTGTGTAACCACCCTCCTGCTTTCACTCTGCGGGGGAGTTTGTCCTTACTAGAAACAGTAATTGCAAAAATGACCTTCAGATTTACTGAAAACAGTAGAGGGCTTTGCACTGACTCATGGAGGGAGCCCAGGTATTGGGGAGGGGCTTGCTGCTTGAGAACACATTTCTCTACTGTCTTGTGCAACAGTTAAACCAAAGCCTGGTTCTGTTGCAGGGACAATACTGTAGGCAGTGTATGTGATGGTTCTGTCCCTGCCAGAATCTAGAATGAATTGCGAACTGCAAACCCACTGCTGGCTGATGAAAGCAGCCCTGCCTTGGCTCAGCTGGGTTTCAGAGCCAAGCCTCACATTTCGGCCTCTCATCTAGTTTCGGTTTTAGAATAAAAAATCCAGTTTGGATCATGAGCCTCTTGCTGAAATAAGAGCCATGGCTCTTTTTTCTGTAATCATATCGCCTCCCTGGTGAATCCTTGGGCTCCCTCTTTGCTGTCATCTTAGCTGATTTCTGTTTGCTGTGATGTTCATTGGTGCCTTACTTCAGGAGGAAATCCCCTTTCTTTCAATGCCTTGTGATGAGTCACTGCTGCTGTTTGCTTCAAACTGAAGGGGATTCCAACTATAAAATTGTATTATTGCTAAAATAGAACCCTGTTCCATTGCGTAGGTTGTAGCTTAAAACAGAGAAAAGTTTGGGGGAGTTGGAGGGTAAGCAAGCAGTGTTGCTGCTGGTTTGGTTTATGAAATTGGGGATTAATGGTAATTCCAGTAACAAGTGAGCAGCTTAGAAGTTTAGTAGATCAAAACCGACCTCTAACTGAAAAGCAGTTGTGTATCAAGTTCTGTACATTAAGAACCAAAAAAACTCCCCTCAAACCATACTAGTTTGTGCTTCCAGCAAGATTGGTTCAGCAAGAAGTACAGCTTGGTTCAAGCTCTTCTTTTGTTTGTGTGTGTGTGTGTGTGTGTGTGTGTGTGTGTGTGTGTGTGTGTGTGTGTGTGTGTGTGTGTGTGTGTGTGTTTGTTTGTGTGTGTATTCATTATGGATTCAAAATTCAGTTGCTTTAAAACTGCTTATTTTGGCCATGGAAGGTTGCTTTCAATTTTCTTCTTTCATTATACATCTGACTGCCCTCGTCTCTATGTTGCTGTTGGTTTAGCCCTGGTGCTTTAAGCTGCAGTTTTCTGAATCCATCGTCTGGCACTTTCTTTTGTCTGAAGTAACTGCTGCAGCTCTCCCTCGTGCTGGAGTTTTTGTGAATTCCCAAATCTGTGGGTGTGCACACAGGACATGGAGGTTGCAATTTGAAATAGGCTTTGGTCCTGCCTGCTCATCTCTTCAGGGGCATGCAGGTAATCCGGGTCTATCCCCTGAACGCTTCCTTTGCAGCCTCTTTCAGCTCTGGATTTCCATTCTTATTTTCAGAGTTCACCTGAGAGCTTCTACAGGCTACAACAAACCAAACCCCAAAACCACAGAAGGCACCATTTAAAGGCAATTTTTGTATCAATGTCTTTAATATTTAGATCTGGAGGTCTGTGGTTATATACTGAGATATGGTGGCTATTGAGCACTGAAAAGGACCATGAGGTTGCTGAAAGCACCACAGTAACACTCGAGTTTAGAAAGAGTCTCACTACTGGCTTTGCAGCATATTGCTGTAAAGGAAACAAGTTAATAAAAGCCACAAAGATGTACGATTTCCCATAGCCTTTGACTAATGCTGTAAGTAAAAGAACAGCTAAAAAAACCACTGTAAGCTGAAGGTGAGGGGATTTCCTTAGGAAGAATGCTTGGAAGGGGCCTTGCTCCGAACTGGGGACTTCAGGAGGCATCATTTCCTGACTTCCTAACAGAAGTGTCTGTGCTGAATGGGAGGACACAGATAACTCCATCTGTCAACCCTAAAATCCTTTTGGCTTTGTGTCTTTAAAGGTATTTAATGCTAAAGACTTAGAACCCTGTATCAGTGCCCTAAATTGCCTGATGTTTGTAGTGAGATCTCTACAGAGCCAGTTAAGGTCACCTTGACACTTTGATTAAACTGTGAACTGCTAATATTATTTTTTTTAATATTTATTTCTATGACCATTACTATTTTTCTCCCATGGTAGAACATCTCATCTGAATAATCCTCTTGTGTGTATTCGGTTGCTCTTCAATGTCCACCTTCACTTTGCAAATGCTGAAAGTGCTTTTTTAGGAGATTAGGTTGAACTCAACTTGAATGCTTATCAACATCTGGAAGACCTAAAGGTAGTCATGGAATATTTATCAAACTCCCTGGCACTCTGCTGTGGTTTAAAGCTTCCTTCAAAGTAGGATGCAGAGAGAAATACTGCAAAAGTTTAGAGTAGGGTTATAATTAATAGGTGGATATATATTCCTCCTTTATAAAATAATCCTCAGGGTTTAATGTCTTTTCTAGGTTGTAATTGCTGGGGAAATACATGAGAGAGGTAAAACTTTGTCTGCTACAGCTTCTCAGTACTCCAAGAACTTATCTTTTTTCATTTTTTTCTTTTTCTTTTTCTTTTTAAAGGAAAAAGTAAAAGAAAGAAAAAGGATCTTATCTCCACTACAGCAAATGGCTTTTCCTGACATCATTTATAAAAATTAATCATTTTAACAACTTTTTGCTTTACTGTTCAAAGACCTTTTACATTTTTCTTGATTGTTCCCCAATGCCTATACACTGCCTCTGTCTATGTTTTATGAGTAAAATCTAAATAACACAAGGGTACAGTTTCCATAAAATTAAGGTCATGTGAGGTGGAAATAGCAGCCTAAGATCAGGAGTTCCTTCACTTTTATAGTCTTTTCTTTTGGTAACAGGAAACAGCTCTGAGGCTGCTTGCTTTGGGACAATGTATAGGAGGTTTTGCCTTCATAAATTTGATTGTGTCTGCATCTTATATGATGGAGAACTGCCCTAGAAATATTTGGATCTGGCTTCTAACAACAGGAGAGCTTTCTCTAGTGTGGTTATTAGCTTTACCACACACTTGGACAACAATATAGCACAGTTGTGAGCAGATATTACTCTTGATTTCACAAAAAGGTAAAATGCTTTATGGTGGTGGGGAACAGCTTCTGCTTCAGTGTTATGATGAACACTTGTGGTTGTGAAAAGGTCATCAGATCCTCTAGAGAAGCTGGCAAAGAGTGCAATTCTCATCTGAAATGTCACAGACATGTCACCTCTCACCACCTTCCTCTCCTCCAAAGTGCCTTTCCTCCTGTCCACCAATAACCAGGATACCTCCCATGGAATACCTTCATTCCTCTTTGCCCTTTTGGTCAGCTGCAAACCCAGGTGAAGGCATCCTCTATTCAGCCCCCTGTACTGATGGCAAACACCAGCTCTCACGGGGTACAGCAGGATTCCTTCTTTTCTTCCTTACTTAAAATACTCCCCTTTTCCTTTCATTTTTAACCCAGAGTTGTGTAGCTCCTGTGCCCAGTTGTACCTTGTCAACCTCTAACAGTGGTGGGAGCTGACAAAGCTTTACTGTCCAAGGCAGAGGCTTTTCTGTACAACAGTGTTTTATGTTGTTGGGTATCACTTTGTTCTGTTCTTGGCCCTTTCTGTGGAGCTGTCCTCTGTTCCAGGGGAACACGGTAGCTCACTGCACTCCTTGCTGCAGAGAAGAAAATCACAGACCAGGAACTCAGTTTTGTGGTAGATCATCCTGTTGAGAAAATTCTCTGTAAGCCCTCAGGGCTTTGTGTCTGATTTTATTTTTTGTAGCTCAGCCAAGAAGCAGCCAAGGCAGAAAAGTGTCTACAGCTTGCAGTTTGTGCCAGTCACTGAACATGGGTGAAAATGCTTTGCCTCATCCAAAAATACCCTGTCTCCATGAGGTAAAGGTCACTTTTCTGTCAAACCACTAAATGCTGCTTTAAGATTTCACTGACGTAGGGAGTAGTAAATTTAGTAAAGCTTTAGTGTTGATTTTCTCGTTAATTGGCAAGCAGGTGAAAATACGTATGGGTAGGAAAGAAATCTTTCTGGAGTCAGTGCAGAAATACTTTCTTGGAGGATTCAGACATTACTTAAAATCAGGTTTAATTCCAGTTTGGACCAGGAGTTAAACACTTCAATGTTTCAGTCAAAAATGTAGTGGTAGAAACCAGTGGGTGGAAACCAGTGGTAGAAACCTGGGGGACAAGGTGGTCTTATTGCCCAGAAAAATGGGTTTGTAGTCAAACTTCCTCAGCACTAAGCTGTGTGCTTGAAGTTTATGGAATGGACAAATGTGATGGAAGTGATGTTCTGCTGGATCCTGCTGCTGTAAAACCTCTTTTCAT